TTTACGTAGGGTTAGGGCCCCGTCGAAGTAGTTAGTAACCAGAGGAAGTCGAGTGGGCATAAACCTCAGACCGTAAAATTATCGAGCTGACAAGTGTCGCCCGGCGTAAACGGTTTTTAATGCTCCTCTCGATGCCGTTTTTCGATGATTGAAAGGGAAACACTAAAAATTTTATAGTTTTTTTTGTTCGTGTTTCTCTCCCGAACTCCGCCCGTCGGGGTTTCGTTAACTAATTATTTATTTTGAAAGGTCTTTACACGCGTCGTTAAAAATACTACGTACAAAAAATGATGTATGTAGATGGAATAATAACCGGCATATCGGGTGTGTGTTTTGACGGGCATGATTCGAATTTATCCCCAATTTCTTCCCAAATTCAAATGTAAATTGCTCTAACGAAAGAGATATTAACTGATTTCAAAATGCATCATTTAGATAGAGCAAAGTTGACACAAAAATTTAATTGAATTTTTTTAAAAATATTTTTTAAAGGATTAATTGATCCTAATCATTATGGTTACAACAAACGAAGATAATAAAACAAATTAATTAATGTACACTTAAAAAATAATTTTACTATTTCCTAATAAAAATAATATTTTTTTTCAAGATTTTACCTACGTATGATGTAAACAAAATACTGTAATAATAACATTTATCACGTTGCAAAGAAAACATATCAATATCTACATTTTTGTGCATAAATATGTATAATATCTACAGGGTGTTAGTTGTGTTCCATATAATAAAATCGATAAATAATTCTTCATAATTCCCCTTAGGCAGGTGGTTACTTACCTGGCCTCGATAGCACGTGTGCTCTATAAAAATTTTATCTCCGCATACGCTTTGTTCAGCTTTTCTTTGACAAAATACGGTAAATAATTACGTTTTTTTTTATTTGTAAACGCTGATAATTCATACTCCGTTTCCTTAGACTATTATTTGCTTTCCCGTATTTGTTGGAAATAGACGGGAAAACGTCTGGTGGATTTATTTTAATTTAATTTCTATCAATAAATATTTATGAAAATAACTAACTAATATTCATCAGTAACAATCACTGTAGGTACAATTTATGTTGATTTAGTTTCTATTAATGAAAATCTATAAAAATCAACTATTATTCAGTAACAATCTGGTGGACTAATTTCCTCGATAGCAGGTAAAACGGTGAAATTCTAATTCTATTTTGGCCCGTCACAATAAAATCGTCTCGGTGGCCGAACGGAAAAGAGACGAAATGAAAAGAGCTTTACCGTATGTTTGTGTATGCACACGAAAACAAAAACGGATAAACCCGCGCTCGCATTTAATGAGTCTCGAACGATAAATAGGTAGCAAATTATTTCGACGAGTTAATAGTAATTAAGTCAGTGCCAGCGAGCTGAACCCCTACACTTATGGATTGCAGGTGATTTATCAAACGAACGCACGAATTTCAGCTACAACCAGATGCGCACTTCAACACTTTACTGGATATGTTTTACGGGATAAAAATTAAAGGGAGAATTTATTGATTAATTATGAGCTTAATGTAAAATATTTTGTATAAATAATTTTTGAGAATTGTTTGATTTTTTTGTAAAAATATTTGATTGGTTTTTAGTATTTTTTTTAAGATTTGTGAGGTTTTATAGCTGTTTTTTGATGATATTTGATGATTGAAGATGTTTGATGATATTTGAAAGGTTTTGACATTTTAAAGGTTTCAAAAGTTTACTAAAATTGATGAAAATGTTATAAAAGTAACTAAAATAATGAAAATAAAGTTCCAAATTCACTGAAATGAAATGGCATCAACGATTCAGTTTAAAAAAAATACTGCTCCACAAAAGTTAAGGAAGTTCACAAATATTGAGATTAATTTAAAAGTTGCAGGCTTTTTGATCGCCAAATTTAGTATGAGTTGTAGAGGTAGGGGCAAAAAATCCACTCAGCATGAGAGAAAACAATTAATTTCGCATATTTGAAAATTCATGGTGATAAAAAAATCCGTAACTTTTAAAATAATCGCAAAATTTTCGAACTTCCTTAACTTTTGTGGAGCATTTAATTAAAAAGCCAAAAAATTCTCCAAAAACAATTAAAATGTGCCCAATTAAATTACCACAAAAAACTTCAAAATAAGTACAAAAGAACTGCTTTCAAAATTTACTGAAATGATGAAAAAAGCATTAGAATACTCCAAATATCACTAAAATTTTAAAATTTTAACAACATTACATAATACTTCAAAACAAAGTATGTTCAAAACCTTCAAGATTGTAAGACCTTTCTTACCACTTTCCCACTCTAACCACTGTTATTTTAATAAACCTTCTTTGTTCAACTCATAGAATTTACCATACTGGATGCAAACAAATTTGCACTTATACCCATACATGTATTAGTTTATCTACGCCTATGAAAAGTCGAAGTGTCGAGAATCCCAGCGACAAAAACCTGTCGGCACCCTTCCGCATATCCCGAAATCCCCAAGCAGGAGCAAACGCACGTGGAGGTAGGTTATAGAGGCCTGGCAAAAAAAATGAGTGATGGGAGAGCGAGCGAGATCTGTGGAACCGCCGCTGTCGGTGCATCGCCGGGCGCACATGCGGCGTTTATGGGGCGTATCGAGCGCCGTGACGCATGTCGTCGGTTCGCCGCTGCTCTATAATCTACCTGCATCTCTTCCACTAATGACTGTTTAAATAGAACTCGCCGCTCCTATCTGCGATACCATCGCCGGCATCAATCTTCGGGATTTTAATGTTTCGCTTGCCAAACGGGCACCTTCGACGAAAAATATAAGGAAGCCAGAGGAAAATGATTATTCGCTGGCGATTATTCGCGTGTTTTATAACATAATTTTCTTATCTTATTAGTTAGATAACTATAGGAGCTTCTGTTTTGAACCTGGAGCTGTATATGAAGACGACTTCATTTAACACTTTCTTTAGTAGAGTGATAAGGTAGATTTTATATAGCATAAATTTTTATGCTAATTAATTAATGAAATATTCGAGGGCATTTCACGCGTTCCGCCCTCGCCGGGACAACAAAACAAATCCGAATGTTGATGAGGCCCGACGAAGTCGACGATGATTCGGCGGTATTTCAGGAAAAAAACCGACCCAGTAGAGCACGCGGGACTCGATTTTCGTTTCATTAGCGACGGGACCGGTGGAATTTCGAGTTTCTCTTTTGACGAATCGACGATTGACCCGTGCCCGAGCCGTCGACACCTGGAAGACGAGCCGACAAAGCGAGATGTCACGCATCGGGGGGACCGGAGCGCGTCGTGTGGGTTCTTCCTCCTCGAGGAATTCCGCCGAAATCCGGAATGCAAGTCTTCGGGGTGGCGGTGGCGATTTATCATGCGAATTGCTCCAAATGTTTGTCTTATTATCACATGTTGATGTATAGGTTTTAGGGTGCGGAATGGGATCGTGTATAGGATAAAGCATGTGGCAGTGTGTAAATTGGACACCATCTTCAAAGAGATCTTAGGTTCTCTAGGTCATAAAGAGAAGCTTCAAGACTGCGGGTTTATAGGAACTTTTCTGTTTATAAACTGCTCCAAAAAATTAGTGAAGTTAGCAAATTTTGCGATTATTTTAAAAGTTACGGACTTTTTGATCACCAAATTTTCAAACATGCGAAATTAAATGTTTTCTCTCATATCTGATGAGTGGATTTTTTGTCCATACCTCTACAACTCATTACTAAATTTGGCGATCAAAAAACCTGCATTTTTTGTGGAGCAGTATATTTGCTACATACATTGCAAATAAACAAAAAAAGGTTATTTATGTATTCGCATTAAAAATTTAATGCAATTTTCCATATTTTATCAAGTTCCTCTTGAGTTAAACTCTTGAGTTCTCCTTATGAGTTCCCATGGTTTTGGTTTCTGATTATAAAGTAAAAAAATAGTATACTTCTAATAATGGTCCCAAAGTATACAATATCACTTACTAAGTTAAACTCAATTTAGGGCGACTCCTAAATGAAGGGGATTGCTAGAATTGTTTTTGTAATATTAGAATTGCAATGAAACAGTCCTGATACGATAGAACAGAAATATTTTTTTGCTATAAAGTAGTTAATTATATTAAAATAAGATTGCCTTCTCTTCATAACATTTCATAACAGGACAAAAATTATTAGATAAGGTAGACTGGGGCAAATGTAAAAATGAGGTAAATGTAATATTTTTACCTATTGTGTTAATATTTTTTATTATTTTTATAGTTCTTTTGTGTATTAGACAGGGTTTGTTTCTTATTTTTTCTTTATTATTTTGTAGCTCTGTTATTTTTTGAAATAAATAAATAAACAGCATATCAAATTTTAGAGGAACCAAATATTTTTTTACAATTGCCCCATATGTTTTTCTATATAATTGTATTGCACTTTAGAACCGTTTTTTACATTTACCCCGTACCATGGGGTAAATGTAACATATTGTCAACATTTTAAAAAATATGTAAAATCGTTTTCTTCCTTTTTCAAAAAAAAACTTTTTAATACCTCGATTCTTTAGTTTAGGAAGTTGTGAATTTAATGTGGTATCAGCATTTCTAATAAGAGAAAAAATAAAGCCACATTTTAGGATTTAATTTGAACTATTCAAATTTTACAACCGATTTACCCCAGTCTACCTTACATAAGATTTCTAAGTGTATTTTATTCTCAATCATTATCTTCATGTAGATATACATTAAATATTGTCCACTTGTTAAGCTATATCCTGTCTATCTGATAGATATAACCGTTTAATTCAAACACAAACCGTTTTAGCACGTCTCGCTGTCTATCAAACCGAAGTAACCGAAACGTAAGCGAGCAGAATCCAGTCTTAATTAAAAAAAATCTCAGAATAATCCGGCCAATGCGGCGCGCAAGGCGGACTCAGCGCCACCTTCCTGGGGCCCCCATTGGACGCCGCCGGCGTCGCCTCTCTTTCTCACACTCTCGCCTCTCGCCCGACGACGCTCGTCTTCGACTTCAACCGCACTTAAGTCAGTTCGAACTATTCGAAACCAAGACACCACGCCGTCGAACAAACAAGTCTCAGTATCTCCGCGTTTCCGTCGACATCCGTTTTCGAATTCCGATTGCCGCACGGTGGTTGTTTTTCGCTCGACATGATGCCCAACGCGATTTCCCGATCGGCGTCGGCGAGCGTCGCGACGGGCGAGCCGAAGGCGGCCCCGCCGCCGGCGGCGCTCGTCCTGCAAAGCGTCGCCTCGGCGGCCGACTGTTCGCAGGATTTGGACAAAAGTGAAATCAACGATGCCGTTACGAAGGTCCTGCAAGGATACGATTGGACTTTGGTGCCCATCGCTTCCAAGTAAGTACCTTCTTAAGCTCTTTGAATTAATAGTCAAGAATTCTACTATAATAATACAAGTGTTTAAAATGAGTAAAGAGAAATATGATTAGTTGGAGGGATCTATAGTTTGTCCTTCTTATCCAAGAAACTTTTACATTCAAGAGTACCACAAAATATTTAAAAATATCCTAATAAATATAACTACCCTCAAAAGTTCATCAGTATTCACCAGGGTGCTAAAATATTTGCTCTATATTTCTCATTATTCCTCTAAATTTTATTCAAAGAAAGCATTCAATAAACACAAAATGGAACTCCTCTAACTATACACAGTATGGTGTATTTGAAGTTGAATTAATAGTCAAGAATTGTACTAGAATAGTACAAGGGTTTATAGAATGAGTAGGTATATGTAAAGAGGAATATGATTAGTTGGAGGAATCTATAGTTTGTCCTTCTTATGTCCTATAATCCAAGAAATTTTCACAATCAAGAGCACCACAAAATATTTAAAAATATCCTAATAAATATAACTACGCTAAAAAGTTCATCAGTATTCACCAGGGTGCTAAAATATTTGCTCTATATTTCTCATTATTCCTCTAAATTTTATTTAAAGAAAGCATTCAATAAACACAAAATGGAACCCCTTCTGACTATACACAGTATAGTGTATTTGAAGTGCTTACCACTAAATTAGTTTTCATCTATTTCGGTGTGTTAAATATGCAAAAATCAAATTACAAGTAACACAGATGAATCACAACAAATTTTTATCGCCTAATTTTAGTGGCGTATTTGTTTCTCGACCGCGCTTATTAGCGCCGTTTTACCGATGACTAGGTTCTAATTACTCAACAGTTCTAGTTAATTAATGCTGAGTGTGTTCGGTTTGCCATAGCAATTAGTCGCGATTTTTCAAAGTGTTGGTAAAACGAGCACTTTCCAATATTTGCCTCGATTTTACGGGCGTCGCCGGTACACCTTTGAAGTTCCAGAACGTTACCAAACGTGTGTTGAAATCATTTTTGTTTTTAATAGAGAAAATGTTAGGTAATTCTTAAGTATGGCAACCATTTTAAGGAACCCCATTAAAAATTGGTCCATCTTATACAAGGCAATTTGAATTGGAAATACAAAACTGAATCCCACCAAACTTGGGCAGAAAATGGACATGTATATTCACCCTGTATATTTCTTATTTACGATGCTATACCTCTCATTCGACAAACATCACCGGATTAATCTGTTTCCCATGGAATAGTGCGAAATTCAAACATGGCGTTTCCTCTTTTCGGGAAATAAATCAGTCCATCCGAGCGGGAACCTTACCTGGATCCGTGTTGAGTTAGGCGAGGACGTTATAAAGTTATTTGTTCGGCCGGAAAGCGAGAAATAAAAATATTGTTTTCGGCAAATATTTGATTTCGCAGGTGGATTAAAACGGTATAATTGGGCGGCAGGAAGGGAAGTTTTCGACTGAAAGATTAGCTTTAGGAATCATTATTTAAAAATCTAAATAAGTTACGTTTATTTAGCGGCATTGCTTTGCTTGTTAACGAGAATAAATATTTTGTCTATTGGCGTGTCAAGAGCATCTCGGGCACGGAACAAACTTTATTTTAATGGGATCATCAAAAAGGCATCGGCGCAAGCCGGATTCAAAATATTTTTTTAGACGAGTGTGCGTGGCAAAAACAATGCTGATTCGCTAAAATGCTACTAATTTGTTGATTATGATTTATGAAATTTGCCCATTAGAACTTTAAAATAATAGATACAACAGCGGCTTGTGGAATGATTATTAAATTGTCCTAGGAAAGATTGTTTAAAAAACATTCTAATATAGTAGAAAAATGAAACTATTTTCGATTATATGGGTAAGAGCAGATGTGTTTACTCTACTCCCTTCTATTCTACTTTCTTCTACTCTGCATCTTCTAGTCTGCAGCCTCTTCTACTCTACTTTGCTATTCTTTATATTTTTACCCCCCTTCTTTCTACTTTACTCCTCTTCTTTCGACTCTACTCCCTTCCACTTTATTCTACTTTACTTTATTCTACTCTACTCTCTTCTACTCTATCTTACTCTAAATGTAAATTTGTTCTTTGTACCTACTGCTTCTTAAATCAAAACCAAATCTGTTGAAATCTTTTCAAAGATTCAAATTCTTTTCTACACCTTTCTACCAGAAATATTCTTGCGTTTAATATACCTATAAAGTATTAAAATACCCTTTTAAGCGCTTAAATAATAAATATATTCCTCGCCCATTTACCACCACCGATCACCAAATAAATTTGTGAAATCAAAGAATCGATTTCGTATCAAATTATCCAGAAAATACACCACACTCAGCAACTCCATGAAATAAAAATAATGAAACAATTAGGTATCTAAAAAAACCTTTTGCTCCGTTAATCGTTCGTTACGTATACGAGCTAATTAACAGCTCTAGATGCACTTTAATTAACGCGCCGCTGGTTCTTTTTCTCTTAGCGGCGCGCACTCAAAAGGACCGTTTTTAAATATAGAAAATTAGGTGGGCAAACACGGCGCTCGCGGGGGAACTAAAGAGGAAAAAGGTGCTAAACGAAATTTCACAAGAAACTGTTCGAAATTCGGGAAATTCGAGGTTAACTGCGCAAATTGTTCGTGTAAATACCGTTAATTAAGGGTCGCTTTCGAAACAATAGATTTTTGGTCTAATTGGATTTGCTATATTTTAGTGCTTAAACAGTTATGTGCATGTTTATTTCACCGTATAATTTTACTGTTGTTTATATGGAAATGTTTGAAAAGCTAGAAGATAAATTAATGAAAATTGTAATATCTCATAAGTCAGTTAGAAAGAGAACAGAAAAGTTCTTGTTGATTTTTTTGGTTTTGTGATATAGCTTCGTTTTGTTTTGTATTATTTTTATTATTTATTTATATTAGTTACAGTTATTAATTATCTGATTTCTCTGAAATAATTGCAAAAATAGATAAGGTCTTCGCAATAATAATGCTGTCACATGAGCCGATTTGATTAAACTTAGATATATACTGTTTCAAATGTGACAAATTTTACAAGATTAATAAATGTCTCAAATTATTCTAAAACCGTAGGGTTCCCCTTAAGACCTTTTAGAGCAAATAGCTATTTGTTATTTTAAGGGTTTTCAGGGTTTTTAGGATCCTACATTAATTTTAACCATTTACAACACTAATTTATTTAAAATAACTCATATCGAAAAATGAGAATAATTATAGCTCTCCTATTATTATCCTCCTAGCACATCCTTTACAGAAAATAACTATCATTTCTTCTTATTTTGAGGGTTTTCAAAGTTTTTCAGAGCTTTATTTATGTTTTTAACCACGCAGAGTACTTCATATAAAATCACTCATCAGTTACTTATATTCAAAAACGAGAATAATTACTTATTTTTGGACATACCCTAAAGGCTATAGAGTAAATATTTATCATTTTTGTTGTTTTCAGGGCAGCGTCTGACAAGAGAAAATTGCACGTGAAAAGGCCGATGAACGCTTTCATGGTGTGGGCCCAAGCTGCTCGAAGAAAGCTTGCCGATCAGTACCCTCAGCTCCACAACGCCGAGCTATCCAAAACGCTGGGAAAATTGTGGAGGTAAGATTATTATTTAACCGATGATTAATGTAACGTAAAGTGGAAACGAGAACGCGAAACGTCGAAGTTATATTGGATACAGCGAGCTCTGCCAAATGCAAAGCGTTTTTTACGCGTATTTATCCAATGTTTTCGAAATAAACGTACCTGAAGCTTTTCAAATGGTCCTCGAATAAAACGCCGATCGTGCCAAAAACGCGGCGATATCGCATTTACAGGTGGATTTTTCTATGCAACAATGCTAGAATAATTAATTTCGGCGGGATTTTTCTTCGCAATTTTGTTATAATTTGGACAGCAGAACCAATTTGTTGTGGCTATTGTTATACAGAGTGTAAATAAATGGTTCTTTGGACCCTATTTTATACCTACATCTCAATCGAAAATAAAGTAAATGCGCCAAATTTCTTGAACATTCATTGAATTCTTTTGGTTACTGGACAAAATTTATAGTTAGATCTTTTAACATGCTGCACTTGTCATTTGGGAAATAGGTAAATAGGGTCTTAAAGGACTTAAAAGAATATATGACACAATTTTATGACCCATCTTTTTGTTATAACCTTGTATACTAAAGTTTGTGATAGTCTTTATGTACCTGAATAATTGTTGATGCAATACGTGACGAAATTCTAGAAAAAAATCATAGGCAAAACGGAATTAACAGACAATATAAGATGGCATCCGCTATCGCCGATAGATAAAATCTTATTTATGACTCGTCGCCTCTTTTTCCCGTCAACGTGCACGGTGTGAAGTAAACAAATCAGCAATTTTTAGCTACAATGTTGTAATCGGGCATCGAAAGGATATGTAAAGTGCAATATCTACAGATTACGGTGCATCTCGCGGCGACATCGCCTAACTGCATCTTATTCGTAACAAGTAAATTTCACGATGTAAATATTACCGCCGAGAAATTCGCATCAAATATAAACAAAATTTATAAACAAATCAATAAGCGAAACGATGTTAAATGGTTGGACAATTCGTTTAAGTAAGCGTTTGAAAAAATAATGCGGACAAATAGGGTGGAAATTCACCCTACATTAGGGGCTCGAGAGTGTGTAGAGATGGGAAAAATGCCGGCAAAAATCCCTCTTTAGGAATACAATAGTTCCGCGGCAAGATCAAACGCCACGACGTCCTTATCGGAGATTGCCCGCCTTAGTAATCTATTTTTATTTTTAGTATTAATTACAGCCAGTTGTATCCGATGACATTTCAGGGGTCAGGAAAGGGTTAGTTCGTTTCGAACGATGATGTGCAAGCGGATGCGACTCTATCCATCCGCTACTGACTCGGTCAATGATCGATTTGTAACTGCATACAATTTACTATTCGAATTTATTTTGTAGTCATCGATTTTATGAGATGATTATTGCGAGGGTTTGAGAATTTTGCCTTGAAGCTAGAATTTATAATAATTTTTTCTTCCAAAATTTACATTCTATATACTGTATACCTATATCTACTTATTAAATTTAATGAGTGATTAAATATCTGAAAACTGGGCGTAAATTATTAAATCGGGAGTTTCGGAACCGGAAGTTTTTTAAATCAATTAGGTGGATACCGAGGGTGAGATAAGATAAATGTAGAAGCAGCGATTAAATTCGAGGAATTTTTGTGGATATAAATAAAATTGAATATTCGCGACAGTTCTAACTGATTTTTCAACCGACTTTACGTTATTTTAACGTTATCTCAAATGGGTGCGATATTAAAAATAGACATATTTATTCTATAAATAGATAATTTGTAGGTAAACTCCCTGTGTATATTTTGTCGAAAAATTGAAGCTTCTGTAAATTTTCACCATTATTAGTTACGAAATTTCCCAAAATTTCAGTTATTAAATTGAACCTTACTGAACTATAATTTGCAATATTTATTTATTACTGAATATAAAGATGGTATTATTAATAATGGTATAAATAAAGAAAATAACGACCATTGGTATAATCTCGGATGAAAGATCAACCTATTTATATTTATACTAATAATAAAAATTTTTCCCCAATAAAATAAATAACGGTAATCTATTTATTTATATTAATAAGTTGCTCAATTTTTGCTATTGATCCAATAATTTAACAAATTTTCGACATTGTATACGCATTAAAACCGATAAAATAAATCTCGCATCGAACGGAATAACATAAAACATAATAAATGTTGATTTATGCCGGTCGAGTACCATCAAAATATAATTATGAAGTTCGCGGTACCGGCCGCAGCTGTGCGCTTCATCAATGAAATTATTAATAATAAATTTACACAATCTGAAAAGCTCTCCCGGTTCGCGAGTAAACTCCGTCTGCAAACGCGAGTGGAAGAGGTTATCGACGATTTTTCGGATCTTTTCACGATAACGGGCTTGAACTCTTTCGATCGGCCTCCCCTTCCTCCGATGGAAACGGTCCGGTTTATCAATGGGATTTTATAATAATATATCGACGTTTTACTAATTTATTTAAATTGAGATTAATTATTTTGAATAACGATTGAAATATATGTGCTTGTAGTTTAGATAAAGATTATTATTGAACAATTTCCTGTCGGTTCGAGTATTTATACATCCGGTTATTTTTGTTTTTCCTCGCATGCAGTTCTAATTGATATTGTTTATTCAGAGCAACGTAAGAGATTGGATAATCTGTATGATCAATTTTCAGGTGTAAATTTGCAGGTATGTAAGAGCCCTGAAAAGGTGGCAGATTGATAAAATTTTGAGCTATTAGAAAATTTTACCAACTTGAGGATGTGACGCAGGCGAAAGAGTTTTCAAAATATTTGAGAATCTTGTTAATCCCTTGTTAGTCTAAATAATTCTGAATACTTTTTAAAAATTCCTAAACAAAAAACTTATTATATTTAATAACATATTTAAGTAGGGTAGGGCGGGGCTAGTTGAGCAACTTTTCACTTTAGCGGATATAGCTCATCAATGATATGTGTGAATGACTTGTTATGTGGCTTGATGGATTAGTAATTTATCCCTTAACAAAAGTGTCCATAGTAACTTTTTTGTAACTAGTTGAATTTAAGAGCTACAGCTGTTTAAATGCAGAAAGTCAAGTATGCTCAATGTACCCCATAGGTGAGGTAAGTTGAGCAACGGTATGTTTACATATAGGATATGTTTATTTTTATAATCATCTCTTTATTTATTGTGATTTAGTGACAAAACAACAAAACTTAAAGTAATTTACGAGCTTTCTGTTTAAAATCAGAATTAAATAGCTTAAAAAAATATTAATAATATATTAGCAAGTTTTGGTCGTTGTTACTGTTGCAATTAATACAAATGAAAGTAAGACCATAGCACCTGGAAGACATTTTATTTGTGCCCATTCCCTGCAAGCTTGGCAGTGAATCCAACTTTCTCCTGGTAAATTTCGCAGTAGTTGCTCAACTAACCCCAACCCGCAATTTTAAAATAAAAGTGAGGTCATAAAGAAATCGTAAGAATTATAACCAGAACATCTCTACATATCAAAAGTACAATAATTTTCTGGAATATTAACCCTTACCCCATTGAAAACGGATAATATTTGACTAATACAGACGAAAACTTGCGATAGACGACGTTTTTACTTTTTGATCACAAAAAAAACAAAACGCACGGGGGCTTTACTCGCTTGTCGAGGCGCCACTTGCAATAGTTCTGTGATTAGGTCTCCCCCGACCCCTTCTTTCCGCCATAAGATGTTTATGCGTACGGTGAATAGTTTGCGAGATATTTCGATTGCACAACTTACCCGTATGCTCAACTAGCCCCGCCCTACCCTAAATCTGATTTAACCGTTTGAAAACATAAAATTATTAAAAATTACTTATAAACTAGATACAATATATCGCAATATATCTCAAAGAAACATCAAAAAATTTTGAAAAATCTTATTCAATTACCTAATATTAGGTAGAGATATTCAATTAATTAAATCTAAATATGCAATTGACTTTGGAGACACTATACATACAAAATTGCTCTCATTAGTACAATATCGGTATCCAATAACCAGATCCGAAGAATCCCTATTAATTTCGCGTGATTCAAATTCGAATGGTTTCGAAACCACGACAGTGGACAGTGGGGTGCCCGGCGGGGGGCCGGGTCAAAGTCGCCGCGATCTGTCTTCTCGGATCGCCCTGTATGGGTCATTAGGAACCATGACTGGGGCGGCGCCTTTCGCAACGAGAATTACGAAACGGTTATTTCTTTTATTTTCGTCTTCTAATAACGCTAATTGATGTAGGCAAAAGTCGGATTAAATCCGACTGGCGCGGGTTTTGTGGGAAAATTTTCGGTCGAAGGTTTCGTTTCCTATGGAGATAGTAGTTCTTAAGCTAGTAGGTATAGGCTAAATTATTACGGTTTAGATCGCGAATTAGATTGCAGTTGATTAGATTGAACTTTTATACCATTCACTGTTTGCTAATAGAAGAACGGGTAAGAGTAGATTGAACTATAAAATTTTGAAAACAAGTAACAAAAAATGAAGCTTATAGAGAGAGATTGACTAATCAATTTAAGATTATATTTTTTCACGAGATTCTAGATGATTTTTCATATTTTTGCAAGATTTTTATAGATCGATTTTTTTCTCAATTTTTATATCATTACCTTCAGAAACAGACGATTTTTATACATAATTTTATTAGTTTTTTCATAATTTTTAAAGGATTATTTAATTTTTTATATGGGATATAAATTGTTTTTATACTCTTTTTTAGATCTCTATGCAGATACTCGATGATGTTTTAAGCTTTTTTCACGATATTTTGCGGTGTAACTGCTTGGAATTGTGGATAATATTAACTCCTCATGTTACACCCTGTATAAACGATTATGTTATTGACTTTGGAATAATAACGTCCCAGGTGTTAGTGGGTTCTCTGTAGGGAATAAACTAAGCAAGATTGCGTTTTGTAAATAAAGGGTTGTTCCTTGGCGTTAGTCTTATCTAATAAATTTACGTTTTCCCATAGTGCAGACGCACACAAAACGATAAAACGAGAACTAATACGATCAAACAATCCTGTCGCGAAGAGTGCGTCGATTTTAATTTAAATAAAGTGATATTTAATACGCACAATATTTTCTACAGGGTGTCAATAATTCCATTAACAACGCTATAATTCAAGTAACTGACGATTTTGTTACATGAATATCGCACATTCTTAAAAAAAAATACAACAAAAAATTACTCGCGATTTCGATGAGCGATTAAAGCGAAACCGCCGACCACGAAAACTAATAGAACACATCTTAAATTAATTAGGAACGATATCTCGAATCGGTTATTAATTAATAACGTTTCGATTGAAAGATAGCGATGTAACGAGAGAAGGAAACCGTCTGGTCGGGATGTCTGCCCACATTCCTCGTGGGTCCGTTCGTAATGAATTTTTTTTCGTCTAATTATCGTTATCAGATCTCCGGATTTTTTTTTCGTCGGATTCAGCATGCGATTGGCACGCGCTGAAACGCAACACGTACGGGGTTGCAATTAGGTTAAAATTAGGAATTTTATTGTTGAATTTAACCGCAAAACGCGGCGTTACGAAAACAGATGTTGGCACCAATTCTAATGCGGAGTCGCTGGTTTTAATTACACACCTTAATAAATTAACTTCTTGTACCGATATGCGCAATATCGGGATATTTATGTAACACGGTAAAGTGAATTCGACTAATTGTATCTCAAAGTGGGGAACTTTTGAGCAGGTATCATCATTAAAATTACGTAAGAAGAATTCGGAAAGGGCTTTTAGTTTATTTTTAGTTAAGTTTTAACCATCTAATTCAACTCTACTTTCACTTGATACTTTAGTCGCCATTTTTTTGTATAGCTAATACTTTCATTATCCCGAAAAAGGTATCATTCATTTCTGCAATCAACGTTCCTTGTTTTTATATTTTTTATTCACAATAATTTTAATATAAGTTTTTCTTCCAAATCTATCACATCCAACTTATCTTATCTCAAACAACTTCTTGTTCCCCAGTAGTTTTATTTCTTAAGCAAACCTCTATTCATTCATCTCATTGTTCATCCAATTCCCAATCTTTCTATTCGTTCAATAATATCATTGCTCATCCAATAATTTCAACATTTTTTTGGTAATTCAGCTCTACTACGTAACCTACTACTTCATCTACTACTTCATTTACTGCTTCTTCTACTACTTCATCTACTACTTCATTTACTGCTTCTTCTACTACTTCATCTAGTACTTCATCTAGTACTTCATCAACTACTTCATCTACTGCCTTATCTACTACTTCATCTAGTACTTCATCAATTACTTCATCAACTACTTCATCAACTGCTTCATTTACTACTTCATCAAGTACTCCATCGGCTACTTCTCTACATTTATCATCCTCGCACATTTATGTACTCATTGCTTCTGCAATACTTAGATATCAAGCATCATCTATTACATTTTTATCTAATCTAGATACTTTTGTTCCAGAGTCCTGAGCGACAACGACAAAAAACCGTTCATAGAGGAAGCCGAGCGGCTGCGCGTGATCCACAAGCGCGAGCACCCCGACTACAAGTACCAGCCGCGCCGCAGGAAGCAGAACAAACCGGCCGGCGAGCCGGCCCACCAGCTGGCCCAGCCGCAGCACTTCCAGCGCTCCCTCAAGCTGGAGGACTCGCCGTGCAGCCCGCGCAGCCGCAGCTCCACGTCGCCGTCGACGTGCTCGTCGCAGCCCAACAGCCCGGCCGTCGCGACGCAGCAGCTCAAGTCCTGCGAGCAGCACGCCTTCGAGATGGACGCCTACCACCGGATACCGGAGATAGACGGCGCCTACATGCCCGACGAGTGCTTGGACAGCAGCGACTTCGACCAGTACCTGCCCTACGACAGCTACCAGGACGAGGCCAACAACAATACTAGCAAGGGGAAGCGGTCCTGCGCGGAGACGGGCGCCTCCGGTGCCGCCTTCGGGAGGTACCACGAGCTGCAGCCGAGCGGTAACGGCGGGGTTAAGTCCGAGCGGTACTTGCAGGGGAATTCCGGAAACGTCTATTCGTATCCGTCGGCTTCGGGTGGGTACTATTCGAATAACGCGCAGTATTTACCTTCGTACCAATATCTGCCGCAGAGGCCGGTGTTTGGTGGTACCGCTGGGGTTGGTACGTACACCGCCATGGAGGGGAACGGCGAGGCTTGGGGACATTATACTGTTTGAGGACTTAGTGATAGTTTTGTTATCAAATATTCGAATCTCTTTTTTATTTTGGTTGGATCCGATTGAGGTAGATTTATGAAGTTGCACGGATGAATTTATCTGCTAGATGGTGTAAATCTAGCAGGAAGGGATTAAATAATGTGCTTTGATAAATCTACACTAAATATAGATACTGTTAGGTTATATTTTTCTTCTTTCTTTTTGTAAATAATACCTAAAAATTGTAAATTATTGTAGCATTTTAAATTTATATTTTATCGAAATAGGGCTAGCGTAAATTAGATGTTAAGATTGTTAAATTAGCGTAGAGTTGTATAAAGAGAAACTGTTTGTTGTTTCGGCATTGGATGGTCTTCATACCTATTTTTGGTAAGGTTATATTTTCGAAAATAATATTTTTTTTATAAACTACGAAATATATTTGTTTTTTTTGGAGCTATTTTTTTTATTTTCTGCCTTTTTTATATTTTGTAGCCAATCTTATTTTAGATGATTTTAGATGATGGTTTTAGATGATTTTTATTTGTATTTTTGAGTATCAGAAAGTTTTTTTACCGCTTCTTTGACATTAATTTGGCAATTTGATTAATCTTATTCAGCAATTAGCGATTCTTTGCCCTAATTTACCATCAAACCGGATACCAAATTCATCATTCTAATGACTTTATAAACGATTCATTCCTCACGGAAACCCGATCCGCCGGCTTTTTACACCATCCCATTTTTTTCCCTGCTAATTCCCTAATCATAACAGGTCGTTAAAGGAGGCTTTCCCGATAAAAAATATCGGGTGTCTCGTCCGGTACTCGGAACCCGTGCTCGTAAACGTTCTTTTTTAATTATACGATTGACACACTTTTCGCTAATTGAAAACAGAAACGGAATTCCAGGATTCCAGAGAAAGGAAGGAGAGATCGTATAACCAGCAATAAAATAAAAAAATCTCCGTCGGTGATTAGGCGGATTTTTAGTGCTATAATGATTGAGCCTTTTTTTGAAATGTTGGTAATAAATATCGCTGAATAATTGGCACTTCTCTAGGAAGGCTTCTAACATGTGCTTCTAAGACCATTTCCGGGAAAATTCGACCAGAGATATTTTCAATCCCCTGCATATTGTATTATGAATAATTACCCTACTCTACTAAGGTAACAACAATTGGATTTTTCTACGAGGCATTCGAGGTATTTAGAATGAAAACAACCCTAACGAATCGATTGGATTTTTACGAATCAATAGAATCGAATATCGACCACCCCAATCAATAACACAATATATGACGAAAAAAAAAAAGTATCGAGCGCACATTCAGCGGCGTTGATGAAGTGACGTGAATACGAGGGGGGTCAAGTGCGCGGGTTAAATCCTCGCATTGTGCTCTTTCGAATTTCCCGGATTGTTTGCTCGGCGCTCGATGACTCTCACATTTTCGGACCTTTTATTTTCTACTTCAGATTTTAATATTTTAATGCCGGCTCGTCGCGCGGCGCACACAAACATGCACTACACACACACGCAGGAATACCAACGGATGAAATACGAAATTGATGAAATGAAAGCGTATGATGGCTGTATAACGTCCAATCAGTGGCGTAGGTGGTGCGATGGCCGCATTGTCGAGATTGATTTTATTGAAGAGACTTGACGTGCGTTACGTTGTGTTATGATGAATAATAATTGAGTAATAGAGATGTTGCTATAGCGGTCGAACGTTAACGCCTTGTAGATGTTATGGATTCTACGAAGAAGTGTATTGTTAAAAAAATAATGGGTTTAAAGGAAATGTGGTCAGTCAAGTGGTGCAAAGTTAAGGGTCCTGATTAGCTTTGGGATTAGTTCTTGTTTTTTGTGCATTTATTGAAGTAGCCATCGCAAAAAATTGAAATATATTCGTGTAATAGACTTCTAGGAGATTGTAATTATCTCAAAGTACTCCTGACTTAAAGAAAAAGCATCTAGAGGCTAGATCTTCCAGGTTATTTGATTCAAAAAGGAAGCTTTAAAAGAGCATCAGTATTTTACCATCTACTTTTGCATGTACCTAATAAATATTTCAAAATAATGTGAGTTACGTGATAAACGTGATAAACGTGAGTTAAAATGAAGCAACACCAAAAAACATATCCAAAAATTGAGCAAAAATCTTGGAAGAACTATTAAAAATCACTATAAAATCTGGATATTTTGAATTAAATAACTACAATTTCTCAAATTGTAGAATATTGATAGACAAATTGGCAGACAAAGATAAGTTGTGAAAATATACAGGGTGTTTATTAATCATGCGACAAAAATTCAATGGATTGTTCATTGAACTATTCTAAGAGTATTTTTTCCTTTGATGTTTTTTAAAAATACGTTCTGTTTAGGTGATATATGCGGGACAGAATTTTAGACAATAACAACATTTTGTTGCCAAAAAATTATTGGAAAATGACTGCAGACATGATACAAGCATCCAATCTTCTGCTCATTTACTGTGGAACTGTTTCAAAAACACCATCAGAATCTTTTCTTATTGAGTTATACAACCAGCAATTATCCGAATTTGCAAGTCTTCCACGCTTTCTACTGAAGCAGTATAAACTAGTTTTCTCGAAAATGTTGTTAGTATTCTTACTATAGTCTCAGAATAGTTCAACCCCTCGAATTTTGGCTCTCTTTTTGATCACTAAAATTTAACTGTTCTCATTCTCTCTACTTTATGACGAATTAAAAGTTGGAAAAATCCAATCAAAAACTCTGTTTTCCCTCAACATCAACAAACATATCATTTGCGTCTTACGAAACGACTCGAAATTTTATCTACACCCTTCAGATAATCGTCTAGCCCCGATTTTATTGCGCCATCAGCGCGGCTAATCGAGCTTCCCGGTTTTATTGTCAATAAAAATTCGACGAACGATTATATCCCGGACTTTTTTGTTTATGTTAGATTCGATAAGGCGGCATTAAAACGAGCTAAAACGGTAGTTGGAGTGTTTTTATTAGAGCACTTGTACGATTTTTTACGTACCTCCCATGTAGCTCGGTGTAGAACTCCAAGCGCTCTCGTTCGCTCCGGATCGCTTCGAATAGTTAAAAATGTTACCGATTTTATTATACCTAAATGAATTATCGAAATGTTTTTATGGCTCGAGTAATAACAAGCAATAACCGGCCATATGTGGCAGTAAAAAATGAGTGAGAGAAACTCACTTTTTGAAGCCCTGTATAATTGGATATAGGCAAGCTAGAGATGTGAAAATTTCATCAAAACTAGCCCAATGTCTTCTCTTTGGATCCCTAAAGTAGCATTATTCCCACTTAAATACAAGGGGTCGAATTATCCCTTTGAATCAGACCTTGTACTTTTTGGGAAAAATTTGATCTCATTTGGGATTTCGTAAGAAACTGATTTTTCTAAAGTACTTTAATTATATAAATTAAAAATTATTATAATTTCGTATAACCTGATGAATTGATCAATTTTATTGGTAGTTAATTTGGCTAAATCGGTAATAAAAATAAAGTAAGAGATACAATTTTTGTAGGCTTGTAAACAGAGTCAGTACCGATGATCGTAAAAATCCCCCTCTAATAATAATTAAATGATATCATCCAGAGGAAATTGAGATAATAAATCACCGGGAAAGGCAAAAAAGCGTCGAGCACGTTATAAATTACCGAGTAGTTCGCCTAACTTGCGCAGTGGTGGCAAAAACGGTTTCACAAATCAACGCATGGCAATTAGCTTTTACTAAAGTTTATCATCAAAGAAGTGCAATTTGTACAGTACATTGGTCGAAAACAAGGAAGCGACTGTGGAAAAGCGGACGGACGCTGATGCGGACGCTTGCCAATGGTTTATGCCCGCCGGATTTTTTTAATCCCCTCGTCGTTTTTTTCTCTTCTTCGCTCGCTTCATTTTCTTCCTTTTCGACCGGTTATTTCGAGGAATGCGCGATTTGGACTTCCGAATGTGTGTCAATTACCGACCGTTCGGACGATTATTAACGGAAATTCGATGTCTCAAAAGCGGCGACGCGACGCCCCGGCCTTTTTATTAGGCGCGCTCAACGAACAAGAACCGCCGCTCGGTTCTGTGCACTAATCAAAAACAGTGCTACTTCTCTAAATCTATTATTTATCAAAAGCGATACGATTTAATTAGGTATAAGCTCGCCTAATATTAGCCAAAATCAAAGCACTGTGATGCTCACCAAACCAACTCCAGCATTACCGCATATTTCATCGCTAATAAAAAAAAATCATTTCATACACAGGATGTCAAAATATAGTCTAATAAACTAATGAAATAAAGAAATATGTGAGTAATAAACTGGGACGTGGCGATTGAGAAAACCCGCACAGAAATTCCTGGCGGGCGCTCGATAAAAAAATCCAATCCGAGTTATTTCCGATGGCATCGAAAGTGGAAAGCGCAAGATGCAACGCAGACAAAAAGAGCGGACGAGATAAGCGATAAACGATACATTTGCGGCGTCGGTTTCGCGCCGGACTCGGCTCTTCGAAGGCCCGTCACTTTTTGACGGGCTGATTGACGCCTGGAAACTACCCTCTTCGAACGATTGCGGCTTGAAACTAGCCAGGATCCTTATTATAAAATTTGATACGGACCAGTTAGACATGTGTCGGGGTTGGGTGTTTATTTTCGGGCGTACGAAAAACATTTGGATACTTTAATAATTAAAATGTTTGAGGGTCTACTACCCTAACTCTGGTCTACTGTAAGTCATACATATTAATTTAAAATAGGTGGTATATTAGCTAAATAAAAGTTATAATAATAATAATAGTGTTTTATTACAGTTTCTTAATGTAATATCATGGAATAGGATTAAATTAATATCTAGAAAATCATAAAAATTACCCCAAATTACCACACCTACTCTCATCATCACACATCACATTATATTATTGATTTATTTTTACCTGCATGTGTATTGAAATTCCCACGATTTAACAAGCCTTCTAAAGGCGGAAAACTATCATCATCTAATCTTTGAGTTTGATGTAGATTTTATTTGCAGAATTAACCAGATAAAACTCATTAAATATCTGACATACATGTGGAAATTATACACTCATGTGCTGGTAGATATCCCTTGGATCCCTTAGATCTCTAATCTATAGAAAAACCCTCAAATCTTGGGAAATTATAGCAAATTTACCACACAATGAACATGCTTTAATTGCAATTCCCAACTTCCCCAATTCCCAACTGAGACACTGTATATAAAAAATATCCAATACCTCATCGGGTAAATATGTTTTGCATTACTGGAGAGGCCGTCTTAATTGCTGGGTTGGTCAGTCAGCAATTGCGATTTTTTTTTTATTTTTTTCGTTTTACT